AACAAATTAGCTTTATTGGATTGGTCTGGATACTGCAGACGGCTGAATGTCTCAAAATGTTTTAGATGGTACAATGTGAAGAAATCGCCACACTGTAGTCCCCTACCTCTGACTTACACCATGCAGCCTAGAGGTCAAACCTTCCTGGACATCTGCTTATGTTCTGAAGTTGTTTTTTGTTTATTTTTTGAGCAGGGTCTCACTCTGTCACCCAGACTGTAGTGCGGTTGGCACAATCTAAGCTTACCACAGCCTCAACTTCCTGAGCTCAGGTGATCCTTCCACCTCAGCCTCCCAAGTAGCTGGGACTACAGGTGCACACCACCAGGCCCAGCCTAATTTTTTGATTTTTGTAGAGACAAAGTCTCACTATGTTCCCCAGGCTTGTCTCATATTCCTGGGCTCAAGCAATCCTCTGGTCCTGGCCTCCTAAAGAGCTGGGATTATGGATGTGAGACTCTGTGCCCTGTGATGCCCTGATGTGTACAGAAGATATAAATGAACTGGATAAAGTAGAAGGCAAAAAGTCTTTGGGAGGCAAAAGCGAGAGTGGGAATGAATGAGCCCAAGACACGGCCACACCCTTATGCTGACTTCAGCTAGGCCTTGATTTCCTCAGAGGAGGAAATGAGGGGAGTATATCTCACTTTACCTTTCCTTACCTATCCCACTGCCTACCCCTGATTCCTCCTTCCCTTCTACTCTAAGGTCTGAACAATGTCAAAAAAACAAGAGAAGACGGACATGAGGTATTGACATGAACAACTCACTAACTTCTAGACGCACATTTGTGAGTGGTTGCCCATGCCTCCCCCCACCAAATCTCATTGCTGATGCTCTGTGTCTGGGCAACAAGTGAGGTGGTTATGGGTGAGAACATTTGCTCATCGTTTCCTAAAGCAGCGATAGGTTATAGGATGACCCTGGTGGCAGCTTACAAAGATAGTCAGTATCCCCCTCCTCAAACTTTGGGGACATGAAGGTAACTTGGTGTGAGAAGCAAACTCTACCAGTTTCTTTCCTGTTCTTTTTTATTTTGAAAGTAGGATTTATTAAGAAGACAGAAAAGCTCCCATAGCGGGAGGGGACCTGAAAGAGGTTGCCATCTACCAGTTTCTATCATGAAAAAGACTGAACTCTGTTTGGGCCTTATCGGACACTGAGGCTTATGTGGGAAGACTGTTGAGGCTTATGCTGTATTTGGAATGTATATTCAATTTATATACTGGTTGTATTTCAGAAGGTTTTAGGCGAGATGTTTGGCAGTCAGAATGCGTTGATCTTTAGAAAGGATGTTTTAAATGGTGTTTCAGTTCCCAAGCCAGTCTACAAAAACAAACAAAAGCAACAACAGCAACCAAAAACAAAACAAAACAAAACCCCTACTTAATCCTCAATATGGCTTTGATGCCATAAAACCATATATCTATAGTAAAAATAATAATGCCCAGGATGATTGCCATGTGAGTAGTTTTAAAAAATAGAAAAAAAATCAATGTGTTAAGTACATTATAGAAAATGGTGATAATTAGGTGGAAATAGGCTTAATTAGAGGGGAATGAGAAAGTATGTGCAAGTTTTATAGAGATCGTCAGGAGATACCTGGGGAATTTCAAAGGCTTTAGAGTTCGTGGCATTGATTCCTTGGAGTGAGTAACCTAGAAAATCCTTCTTAGGAAATCTGGTTTCTTTTCCACAGGCAAGTTTGCAGACAGATCAGTGAGGGCTTGGGAAGAGGCAGTGAAGGAGAGAGCTCTTTCCAGTGGCAAAAACGAGAATCCATAAGGAAGAGAGACGTTGACTAACAAGTGTACCTGAACATGAGAGGAAGGGGTTTTGCATCAGGAAGTCAACTGAATGACTGAGGAGGAAACAGTGAAGGGACTGTGTAATCCCTCAACTTAAGAAAGTTGGAGTGGGAGCTCCTCTCTGACAGGTCCACGGTTGGCCTCTGACATTTTGGGGGCTAGTCTAGTGGGGACCGGAGCATCCTTAGAAAGGCAGAAGGACTAACGGACATGAACTGCTTGCAAATGCTCTTATAAAGAAACTGTAGAATCAAGTAGTAAGGAATTGTACCTCAGTTCACTTGGTGGCTAAGTAAGACTGAATAGTGGAATTGAATTCTTGCCTCTACAAATATCTTTCTGCCTTCCTATGCCTTTTACTAAATGTACCCTCTCTTTCTCTCTGCTTCTTACTAAAAATAAAACTCTATAATATTTTTAAAAGACAAGATCTTGCTATGTTGCTCAGGCTGAAGTGCAGTGGCATGATCATAGCTCACTGCATCTTTAAAATCCTGAACTCAAGCAATCCTCCCACTTCAGCCTCCTGAGTAGCTGGGACTACAGGTGTGTGCCACTGTGCTTGGCTATCTTATGGTTGAAAAGCAAAACAAAACCGGGCAACCCCTTTGGGTACCCTCCCACTGTGAGAGCTTTTCTATCCTCTCGACAAATCCTTCTCTCAAATAATAATAATAATAATAAAACCTAGCAATTTGCTTTGATGCTAATTTGAATCTAAAATTGATATTAACACTAAAGTGTATCAGATATATTCTGTTGAAGACAACAGGCAAAAAATAATATGTTTCTCACTAATTTCCAACTCATACTGAAGGCAGAGAATAGGCTGTATTTTCATTCTCTAGAAAGAAATACATTGTTAACTAAGTTACTAGTAAGAAATTATTCACTATCTTAAGAGGAAAATAACTTTCAAATACTCTCAATTGTTTATAGCCACTGATTAAAATATACTCATTATCAATTTTTAAAATCTACTTAGTGATAAAAAACTCTTTTAGATTCTCTGGAGCATGTATTAAACATAGGCCAAAGTTTTTGAGAACCTACAAATAACAATATTTTAACTTTTCCATACATCCAGGATTTCAAGAATTCCTACATTATTATAATTAGTTATTTTAGGGAGCTATTACTTCATATTGTCTTCCAATCTCATATTTAACTTCCACAAATTGAGAGTTTTCAAAAAATGAGCATAATTAAGTTTTATTTTTAAATGTATTCACTTAGATCAGACTTTTAGTCAAAGCCTATACTTTGAAGAATACGTTAAAAGGCTGGGTGCGGTGGCTCATGCCTATAATCCCAGCACTTTGGGAGGTCAAGGTGAGAGGATTGCCTAAGCCCATGGGTTTGAGACCAGCCTGAGCAACATGGTGAGACCTCATCTCTACAATAAATAAAAAAACTAGCTGGGTGTGGTGGCACATTTCTGTAGTTCTGGTTACTTGGAAGGCTGAGGTAGAAGGCTCACCGGAGCCCAGCAGGTCGAGGCTGCAGTGGCCGTGAGCGTGTCACTACACACCAGCCTGGGCAATAGAGTGAGACTCCAACTCAAAAAAACAAAAACAAAAAATGTTGGCAGCTGGGAATGCCAGGTGCTTAATATATACTATCACTCAGTTTGCATGAATCTGTCAACATTCAAGGCAAATCATCTATTAGCACTGTCCTCGTCACCGTAAATGATTGTTAATTGCCACAAAGAAACAAATAACTCACAACCAACAGGGTGTACATTAAACACGTTACATAATACACACAAACATCAATAAATAGTGTCAGATATAAACTAAACATTACCCTTGAACAGAGTTAGAAGCCTCTGCTTCACCATATGCTGCGAGAATCTATGACTGAAATGTATGTTAAATACAGAACAGGATATGAGAATGCTTCAATGACTTCAACGTTACACGTGTGCATTTCAAGATGTTATCTTATAATAAGTGACTGTCCTCAAAGACATTAAATCTTCTCAATGAAGAGAAAAGAGGAAGTGAGAAAAAAAATTCCAGGAAGGAAGTATTTTAAATAATTTTTGTGTAATACAAGTGGCCTTATTTATTATTTCTGTGTTAAGGAGGCTTGTGGCCCCAAAAGACCTTTGCTCTTGAACCTCCTTTCCGTCTTCCTCTCTTGGAAGAGAAGGCAAGTTGGGCTGAGAAAGAAAGCCTTTCATAATTGGCAATGACCCACTGCCACTGGCTGAGGGTAGGGCAGATGCAGGCCTGCTGTGTCCCGGATGGTTAGGTCAGGATTCCATGAAGCCCTCCCTCGCACCGTTTCTAACAGAGACACTGTGTCTTCACAGCTACTAAGAGAGTGCTTGTTGTTAAGTGCAGTCCTCTTCCGAAGACAACATCTGACAACAAGGTTTTGTTTTTGTTTTCAGACAAATGTGCCATTTTCAAGGGCTTATGCTAATTCATTTCTTTCCCTTCCAGAAGGAACTTAAAGCCAAATTTGGATCTTAATTTGGAGGGGATAAGCCTCTGGACACTTGAGCCCCTTGTCAATAAAAGTGTAGCCTGTAGATCAACACTGTGGGCAGGAGGTGGGAGCTTGCAGGGAGCTAGAATCGTGGGTTCAACTCCAGACCTTGAATGTCAGCAGACCCCCCAGGGATGCACTTGAAGAAACACCGTTCTAGGCTTCTCTATAAGCCTCAGTAAAGAATGGGGTCTTGAATGTTACAATCTGGGGGTTCCTGGGACACGGAGATGACTCTTGGCAAATTATCACATTTCACCACTTGCTATTGGCAACAGCTGGGTGAGCGTGTTTTGGCAAAGATCCTCATGTCTTTTGGCAATAGGCCAAAGAGACTTTAAAAATAGCATTTTGTACTAATTCTTCCAGACAAGCCATGTCGATTTATGATTTTGGTTTGGCTGTGCTGTTAATCGAACTATATGAAAAAGGTGCATATTGAGACAGGATAAATAAATGACAAAGTCACCATGAGCAATAAAACTAAGAGAAATTGAAGTTTTCTAGAAGTGATGTTTTAAATTAGGTTTGACGTTTTAACTATAAAGCTAAAATAAAAGGTCTGATCAATAATCACTTAAGCAACTTATAATTATGTCACTCTTTTTTTTTTATGAACAAGCTACCATTTTTATTTTTTCCATACAGTAAAAAAAAAAACCAAAAGCCACTGGTTAGACCAGGCTCTCTTACCTTTATATCCTGTGGGTTGATGTCAGGATTTGTTTTACACTGCAGAGGCCCCAGAGTTTGGATATGAAAAATATAGAGAAGAAATTCATCCCGAGCAGAGAATGGCCAGCCCACTTCCAGAATGGTGTCACTGATGGTACTTGGTCCAATATTGTGTAGCTGCAGGCAAGTAAGTGACATGTGATATAATAATACAGCACAAAGCAGGAAGATGAACTCAAACTTCATATACTCTGCACCTGTTTTAAAAAGCATGTGTTACTGGTTTCAAATCATCTGGGCTATGACTGTGGGACACAAGAAAAGAGTCTCTACAACAAAAAGTGTGATGTGCCGACTTTCAGAAAAGACTCTTCAATCCATAGAACTCTGAGAGTCGATTTCCTTATCAAGGACCCTATGGGCCATGTCTGAGAATTGCGATCCTTACTTTAGTGCTAAAGATGAAATTTTAATGATATGCTTTCAAAGCTTAGTGAGTCTTTCTTTACACTGAAATCTGCCTCCTCTTTCTTGACTACTGACTTGTCAATTGCAACCATATGCGACGCACTCTCTTTCACCCTCTAGAGGAATGTCCATCCATCAAGTGCCAAAGGCGGTCCAGGCTCACCACAGTTCATTCCAAGTGCGCGTTTCTAAGTTGAGCTCCTTCTGTTTCAATCAGCAAATCTCAAGGAAAGGCAGGCCACATCTTGTAAAGGGATGAATATTTTAACACATGAATCTTATACTCAGACAACACAAAATTGTTTGCCCAAACATTAAGAACACTTAAATTTATTATAGTTTAAAAAATTTACTCTAAAGTTAACAGTGATTCTGTCTTTTCCTAACTCTCTTTTTCTTTTTCCTCACAGTTCTGACAATTATAATGACCTATAAAATAAGCGTTTTGGCTTAAGTGTCCAATTTTATTCGCATTATCTACGAAGCATGGCAACCACTGGTGTAGTATATTTTGAGACATGGGATTAGTGTGTAAATACATCTGATGATTGCTTTTAGCATGACTGGCAATTACCCTAAACGTTTATGATCCATTCATGCTACGATCAGAAGCAGGCTGCCTTGAGAATAAGTCTGAATATGTTTTCAAACTTTAAAGTGTCACCATTCTTGAGCAGAAACCAGCATACATGCTGTAATAAATTATTGAACAGCTTTTTTTTTTCTTCCTCCTGTGAGGTTCTTAATCCGAATGGCCTAGGAGACTGTATTATCCTTTGGCTATCAAAAGAGCTTGAGGCAAAGCTTTGATCCAGCTTTGGAAAGGGCTTCTGACTCTGAGCTGCAGGTTGGGCAGATGACAGAAGTTTTCATGTTGATACTGCCCAGAATTTGAGGCTTCTTCTCCACGTTTGTAAACAGCTCATCAGTTTTGAAAAAGCTTTATTGTTAATCTTGGAGGATGTTATTCATGTCCCTTGCAGCTTGAGATGAAAGTCATAGTTAGAATTACTAGATTAGTATCATGAGTTGTATAGGAAAGGAACAGAAGGCATTAATCGAGAAGGAACCACAAACAGAAAATGCCTTGGAACATAGTTTTACCAAAATTCCATTCCTGGGTCCCTTGAAAATGAATAGAAATAACCGTTCTTTACTGATAGCATTGACTTTATTTTAAACAGCAAAACAAAACAAAAACCGGAACAACTACGAAACTAACCCTTTACTACATGTTAGTTTCTAACTGTAAATAATGTAATTATTTCAGTTGACATACCAACAAACCCTTTCCCTGTTCACAATTTAACACTTGAAATGGGTAAACAACATCAGGTCCTTTTCATGCATTACTTGTTTGTTTCTTGAATATACATTTACTAAGCAACAGACTATTTCAAATCTCAGAATAAGTTATTCATTTCTAATTCGAGTTATTTGATTAAAAAGTAAAATTATTATTATCTATCTACCAACCACCCATCTCATATATCATATGTACGTTTTTGGAACAATAGTGAATAATTTATAAAATTTTCCATCTGGTACCTTCTAGTTGGTGACTTTCTGTTTAAGAGATTAGTGGGTTTTAAGAATATCTGAAAACGTAGGAAGAAATGAAATCAAGTCTAGGGAGTTATCCATTTTTATGCTAAAGTTGTCCAATAATTAAAAGAGAGGAAATAAAAACATTAAAAAAGGAACAATAACAAGATAAAACGTTTCTCACCACCGACACTAAGGAGCAAGTGATCATATCTGGGGTTCTTAAAGCATACCTCCCCCATCACAGCAGGGATCTAGGCAGTAGACAAAGCTCAGACCTCAGCTGGGTGTCTTTTAAAATGCGATGCAGAGTTTATTAGCACAGAGCTTAAGGATACATCCTTAACACAAATGTTAACACAGACAATTACTACCTCATAAATATGTTCCACTAATGGTCCAACTTCCTCCTCTTTGTGGGGCTCCTCTTCCGGTTCCCAGTTGTGAATGGGCAGAACAATCTGCGGAGGGTGGGATACTCTGAAATAGGAAATATCATGTTAATTGCCAATGATGGCCCAGGCGACGAACATTTCACCAGTGTCCTGGACCTTGACAGCAGAAGGAAAAAGAGGCTTTCAATCTGTTTGAGTAGATATTTCCCACATGGAAAAAATATTGAAAGCGATCTCCAGCAAAGTGACTAAAATGATAGACAGTGAAGGACCCGAAACATCTCCCTAGGCTCTTAATTATTGGCCTCTAGGCTACAGGTTGACTATTTCACAGCATCTCATCTTGTGGGCACCAGGGGCAGAGTGGAGCGCATTCTTGAGTGGAGGTGGATAATTGAATGCACACATTCAGTTAACTCATCAAAGATAGACTCAAATCGGGGGAAACCACGAGGAAGAACGACTCTCTAAGATGTCCACTAAATCAGTGCAACACTGTTCATAGCTTTCAAAGTCAAATTTTTTTAGAAAGAAGGAAGCAAAAAAGGAAGAAAAAATATAATCAACCAGTGTCCCTAGAATGAACAGCCAGTGTAGTAATCTAACAATACTTACTGATTAACCATCCCTTCTAAGATGGAGAATAGAGTGAGATTCCATAAAGATCCGCAGGTAAAAAGATTGGGAGATAGTCAATGGTAATAATGAGCATTAGGAAGAGATTTGGAGGAAGCAAGAAATAAGGCTCTTTAGTTTATTTTTAGTTTTTATTTTTTTGTGTCAAAGTCTCACTTTGTCTCAGGCTGGAGTGCAGTGGTGAGATAAAAGTTTACAAAAGCCTCAACTTCCTGGGCTCAGGTGATCCTTCTGCCTCAGCCTCCTGAGTAGCTGGGGTTACAGGCAGTACCACCATGCCTGGCTAATTTTTAAAAAAATTTTTGTAGAGATGAGGTCTCACTGTTTTGTCTGGGCAGATCTCGAATTCCTGGGCTCAAGCATTCCTCCTGCCTTGGCCTTTCAACGTGCTGGAATTACGGGTGTGAGCCATTGTGCCCAGCCAAGATTTTTTAAAAAATTAACTTTATTTTGAGATAATTGTAAATTCACATATAGATATAGGAAATAGTATAGCGAGATTCGAGGTACCATTTAGCAGTTCCCCCCAATAGTAACATTTTGCAAAACAAAAATGTGACATTGTAATGTAATGTCACAGTCAGAATATTGACATTGATGTAGTATGTCACTTTTAGTGACATTCTATCACCACAAAGATTCTCTCTGCCTTGTCCCCTTCATATCTCTTGGCAGCTAAGAAATCCTTTCTTTCTATAACTCTGTCGTTTCAAGAATGTTACATCAGTGGAGTCATGCAGTATGTAATCTTTTGGGAATGGCTTTTTTTCACTCTGCATAATTCTCTGAAGAGTCATCCAGGTTGTTGCAACCGTCAGTAGATCATTCCTTTTTATTGTTACGTGATATTCTGTGGATTGGATGTACCACAGTTTGTTTAACCATTCACCCACTGAAGAACGTGTGGGTTGTTTGCAGTTCAGGACTATTATAAACAAAGTTGCTATAAACATTTATAGACAGGTTTGGTGTAAACTTCAATTTCCTTTTTCTGTAATGAAGGGCTTTTTTTGTTTTGTCTGGAACAATGGAATTAGATTTTTGATAAGTTCAGGTCTATATGCTATCAGGAAGTTCAGATCTGAGGTGCTGGTAGTATAGTGTGAATTCTATTTTTATAAGCTTGCTTTCAAACTCATTTAAATCCAAACAGCAGCAAAGACTATTTATTACTTAGGACAATGTGGCAGGCAGTATCCTATGCAGACCACAGATACTCATGAGTATAGCCCCTCTTAATATACCCATTCAATCCTGACTATTTTACAAAGTATGCAATTTCATTACACTTTTTTTCCCCAGGGGAGAGCACGAATGCAGTCCCCCACTACCACAAATTATGCAGTTGAGTTTCCCATATTTGGGGAAATCGTAGGGGTCAGCACATCCAGAGTGCAACGGATAAGCCTTGCCCTGGGAAAACCACCTTCGTGATCATGGTAACTTCCCAGCCAGGTAAGTATTATTATTCTTTTTAAAAATTACATATATTACTCAGTATATGTGGTACTTCCTTTTGTGACCACATTTACTTCTTACAGACCTACGATAAATTGAATACCAATACCAATAAACAGTATGTACATCTGTTTTAAGGCAATGTTGATGTTCTCTAACTTTGAAACAAGTGGAACAGTTCTCATTATTTTTTCCCCCAAATAAGTAAATCCATTGTAGTTGTTTTAATTATAAAAATAACAATACATTTTAAAAAATGGTCTACGATAGGGCATGATAAAATACATCAGAATAAACACCATTGGCCAAAAAGAAAATTAGATTTTCCTGAAGTCTGAACATGGAAAATTTTCAACACAGTAGCTGTTTGTTCACTGAAGAATTAAACACTGAAACCAATATTTTTGCTGGATTTTTGGAGGAAAGAGTTTTACTATGTAAAACAGCTAAGCTTAACACTATTTTAGAGAATAAATTGTGGTCAATTGTTGGATGTTATTCTAGTAATTAAAATAAGTGCACCCATGTGAAAAAAATTTTTAATTACCTGTTTTAATTATTGGAAAAAATGAATAGAAATTTCCTATTTTTCTTTTTTTTTTCTGTAAGTGATGGTAGAAATACATTTGAAAATATTAACCTCATAAAATGGGTATGTGAGAATAAAGAATGTTACATTAGGCACTTAGCTGCCCTAGATTGATTTATATCTTTTTTTTTTTTGAGTTGGAGTCTCACTCTGTCTCCCAGACTGGAGTGCAGTGGCTGCTCCCGGCCACTGCAGCCTCGACCTGCTGGGCTCTGGCGATTCTTCTGCCTCAGCCTTCCAAGTAGCTGGAACTACAGGCACGTGCCACCATGCCCGACTAATTTTTTGATTTATTGTAGAGATGAGGTCTCGTCAAGATGCCCAGGCGGGTCTCGAATCCGTGGGCTCAGGCAATCCACTCACCTCAGCCTCCCAAAGCGCGGGATTACAGGCTGAGCTACTGAGCCCGGCTGATTTATATCTTAACAAATAAAAACATTTCCCAATTTTAAATTTATTTTGGAATTAAGAAACAGTATCAACTTATCTTTGGCTGGCAAAACTGAGATACACTAAGCTTCAAGAAGGAGACAAAAGTTCACATACACTAGTTGTAAGTTTTAAAAAGATATAAAAATAAGATAGTAAAAAATAACACTTGTGTTTTCTTCTCTGATTTTTAAAAATAGTGTTTTTCTCATTGAGAGATACAGAAGAATTAAATTATAAATAAAAAATGAAACATCTAGATTAGCTCCAAATACCTATAAATCAGATCACTTTCCATGAGTCAACTTATGACTTAGAGAAGCAATCACAAGGGAAATTAGAAAATATTTTGAGCTGAGTTTAATGAACACCCCACAGATCGCCATTTTGGTATGGAGCTAAAGCATTTCCTTAGAGGAAAATTTATAGCACTAAATGCTTATGAAAGAAAAGAAGAGAACTCTCAAGTCAGTGGCAGAGTTTGTACATAGAGGAACTAGATAAAGAGAAAATCAAATTCAAAGTAAGTGGAGGGAAGGAAATAGCAAGAAAAGCCAAAACCAATGGAATAGGAAACAAAAGCAAAAGCAAAAACAAACAAAGAAAATAAAACAAAAATTAATGAAACTGAAAACTGGTTATTTGTAAAGATCACTATACTTTAGCCAGACTTATAGAAAAAGAAAGAAAGAAATAAGAGAGAGTAAGAAAGAGAGAAAGAAAGAAAGAGGGGAAGATACAAATTGCCAATATCGAGAATTATGAAGGGAAAATCACTGTAAGTCCTACAAGCATTAAAAGGAAAACGAGAGAATATTAATTTCATGCCTACAATATGTAACAAATGAAACAGACAAATTCCTTGAATGTCAAACTACCAAAGCCCATTAAGTAGAAATAGGTCATATGAATAGCCTTATATCTAAGAATGAAATGAAATTGTTTAAAATCTTCCTACCAAAAACTCCAGACTTAAGATGGCTTCACTGGTGGATTTTACCAAATATTCAAGGAATAAATAATATGGTTCTGTACAAACTTTTCCAGAAAATAGAGCAAATGAAGGAATAGTTCCAATTCATTTTATGGGGCTAGCATTCCCCTGATATCCAAACCAGAAAAAAACATCTTGTGAAAACTACAGATCCATATGTCTTATGAACATAGATGTAAATGTCACTAAAAAAATTATACAAGTTGAATCCCAGAAGATATAAAAAGGATAATTGTCATGACTACATGTGCTTCTCCTCTAGAGTCAAATTAGGTTTAAGATTCAAAAACAAAAATCAATCAATTCACCACTTTAACAGACAAAAAAGGAAAACCACTTAATCATATTGTTAGGCCCAAAAAAACAGTATTTGAAAAAAAACTGATCACATATTCTGCTAAAAATTCCCCCCAAAAAATCTTAGGAAATCAACAAACATAAAAGCTATTAGTACTTAAAAGTGAGCGTGCCAAAATCTCAGAATGCACTCCTGAATTTCAAGATGTGGTATAAATGTAGATAGATTAAGTAGAATAGGAAATCCAGAAATAGACCCTCACATACGAACAACTGATTTTCAACAAAGGTTGCAAAGTAATCCAATAAGAAAAGGATGGTCTTTGCAACAAATGGCACTGATATTCATATGCAAAAGTAAACCTCGGCCCTTACCTCAAGCTAGATACAAAAATTAACCTAAAGTTAATCATAGACCTAAGTGTAAAACCTAAAATTATGAAACATCTAGAACAAAACACAAGATGAAATCTTTGTGACTTTGGAAAGGCATATATTTCTCAGATAGGACACAAAGAACATAAGTCATAACAATTAATCAACTGGATTTTATCAAAACTTCAGACTTTTGCTCTTTAGTGTCATTGGTAAGAAAATACATAGCTGAAGCATAGACTGGAAGAAAATAATAGCAGGACACGTATCTGATAAATAATTTTGTATCCAGAATACATAAAGAACTTTTTTTTTTTTTTGAGTTGGAGTCTCACTCTGTCACCCAGACTGGAGTGTAGTGGCCGCTCCCGGCCACCGCTGCCTCGACCTGCTGGGCTCCGGCGATCCTTCCGCCTCAGCCTTCCAAGTAGCTGGAATTACAGGCATGCGCTACCACGCCCGGCTGATTTTTTTTTTTTTTTTAATTTATTGTAAAGATGAGGTCTCGCTGCCCAGGCGGGTCTCGAACCCGCGGGCTCAGGCAATTCACTCACCTCAGCCTCCCAAAGGCGCAGGATTACAGGCTGAGCCACCGAGCCCGGCTCATAAAGAACTTTTACAACTCAGTAACAAGAAGACGAACAACCCAATAATAAATAGGTAAAAGATTTAAAGAGTTACTTCACCAAAAATAAGATATTGATTGCAAATGAGCACTGAAAAGATGCTCAGTGTAACTAGTCATTGAATAAATTAAAATTAAAAACTCAGTGAGACGCATTACACATGTACTGGAAAGACTAAATACAAATAAACATAAAGCACATCTCCTACATTGCTGGTGGGAACACAGAATGGAAATTGCATGGTCTTTCTGGATTACAGTTCAACAGGCTCTAATAAACATACACTTACCATATAACTCAGTAACTCCATTTATGAAAATAAATGTCCTAATAAACACCTGGATGTGAATGCTTGTAGCAGCTTTATTCTTAATAGCCTCACACAGGATATGGCCCAAATTTTCACCAACTGGTGAATGGATGACTCATTGGCATCCATACAATATAATACTTTTCAGCAATATAAAGAAACAGACTACTGATACATGCAAGAACAAGGATGTTTCCCAAATGCATTATGTCAAGTGGAAGAAGCCAGATTCATTCTCAATGATTTATATGACATTCTATGACATTCTGGAAAAATGCAAAACTACAGAGACAGGGTGGGGGGAAAGCTTGACTACCCAGAAGCCCAAAGGAACTGTTTGCAGTAATGGTACTCTTCCATATTGAACATTCTCATGGTGTCATACCTCTTCAAACGGAACATCCTCAAAAGGGTGAATTTTATTGATATGATTTATGCCTCAATAAACTTGACTTTTCAAAAACCTCACAAATTCCATAAACTATGAAAAGAAATTTGTAATCCATGTAACTGGTAAAAGATTACTGTCTAAACTCTGAAATATAAAAGAATTCCTATATACTAATAAGAAAAAGTCAACCCTTTGGGTAAAAATACATACAAAAAATAATGAACAAGTATTTCCCTGCATAGGAAGAATAAAGAGTCAACAAACACATAAAAGAACTGCTTACTCTCTCTTAGAAATCAGGGAACTGCCCATTAAACCTTTGGTAAGATACTATTTCTTATCCATCATATTGGCTCAACGTGAAAAAAATGGATCATTTTAAGAATTAGTTGATAATATGGAGCACTGGAAACTTTCATCTACATCTCATGGGAGTATAACCTGGTATAACTATTTTGAAAAAGAATTTGTTATTATTTTGTAACGTTTATGCCTCTAATCATATCCCCTGCTGACATTCTTCTGACATGTGTGCCCAAAGACGTGTATAAAAGACATGCACAAAAAGTTTGTCAAAAGGACAGAAGGAAAGATCAAAATTTGCTTGAACCTAGGAGTTTGAGACCAGCCTGGGCAATCTAGCAAGACTTCATCTCTACAAAAAAAAAAAAAAAAGAAAAAAATTTAGCTGGGTGTCATGGCACATACCAGTAGTTCCAGCTACTGGTAGGTAGTAGTTCCGGTGGTAAGTTGTAATTGTGCCACTGCACTCCAGCTTGGGTGACAGACTGAGACCCTGACTCAAAACAAAAACCACAAACAAAAACAACGCTTATGGAATTAATGCAATTTACACGAATGAACTACAAGCATGTTCCATAAAATGAGTGAACTTAAAGCATTTGTTCGAATGAGAAAAAATCACGGAAATATATATAAAATAAGATTTTACAGAAATGAGGTTAAAAGAGCTCATCTCCCAGGCAGGACAGCACGATCATTTCTGAACATGAGCTCTGGAGACAGGTTGCCTGTATTTACATTCTGGCTTTCTATTTTCTAGTGTAACTTTCAAGTCCTTGTGCCGCATCCCCCTCGCTTGTGCAATGAGGATACTAGTGTGTATTAAGAAGCGCTAAAATCAAGTAGCACCTAGAAAGCATCAGTAAATGTTAGGCATCATTATCCTCTAATCCACTAGGGGGCGCCTCAGCAGCACCAGGGCAGCGGCGGGGCCCCATTGAGAGCAGCTTGGGACGGTGGTCACAGGGCCCAAGGTGACACCACTCTGAGTGCAGAAATCCCAGTTGTCACCGCAGAGGAGAGTGAACCACTCAGGACCTGTGGAAAAGGAAGCGAACCAGGATTCTGGAACCCCAGAGAAAATGTGGTTCAGAATCCCAGTTGACATTTTAAGCCAAATCCTTGATTGTTCTGAAGAAACAAGAACTATAAGAACAAAATCAGTGAATTCCACCTTTGTGCGAGATAAGAACGACACACAGTCCATTTCTGATTTCTTTTTCCCCCAGGCATGGATTTTCCAGCTGGCAGTCATTTCCCTGACCCCTTTCTTCTTTTCTCTTGGTTGATTGTTTATTGGCACCTTCCTCAAAGAATAGGACCAGAGGAAAAATATATGAAATGAAGGTCCAACTGAACCTTGCATCCAAGGGTTAGCAGTTATTAAACTCAAGTTGTGGTGTGGTGAGGCTGAATTGTCATTATGCTAAAATAATTATTGGAGAAGTGAGACTTCTTCAGGGAATCACAAGGTTGTCTATTTTATCAGGTTTCTCGTGGACTGCTTTGTAAAGTGTGATTACTGAATTGTCAGTTTAGTGAATAAAGTGACCTCTTATTTTGATATCCTTCGAGTTAATTATTATTACACAGGGTTGGCTGTTTTCCAATCATCAGTATAAGGCTAATCATCAGTATAAAAGAATGAAAACCGATAACCAAAGTGAACTGTAATCTCTTAATACATTAGGGACATTCCATATAGCTTTCGCTAGTATTTTTTCTTTTTTCTTTTTTTTTTTTTTTGAGACGGGGTCTCACTCTGTCTCCCAGGGTGTTGTACACTGGTGCCGTCATAGCTTATTGCAGCCTCAAACTCCTGGGCTCAAGCAATCCTTCCTCAGTCTCCCGAGTAGCTGGGACTACAGGTACACACCAACATACTCAGATAATTTTTAAGATTTTTATTTTGCAGTGACAGAGTCTCACTGTGTTGCCCAGGCTGGCTTCAAACTCCTGGCCTCAAGTAATTCTCTCACCTCAGCCACCCAAAGTGGTGGAATTACAGGTGTGAGTCACCCACACCTGGCTAGTTTTCACTAGTATTTTATCATAACTCTTTACATACAGAAAGCTATTATTATACTACTGCATGCCTTGTTTATTACTTACCCTCTTATTTCCACTTGAGCCACAGCAGTGATGTTGATTTGCAAACTCACAAGATTGCTGTCTGGATTATCCTTGTTGGAACTAAAACACAGTGACACATGATTTAAATATATATTCTCAGATATGTTACCACCATGCATGATCATGAAAAACATTCTGTATATCACAAGAGCAACACACATTGCCAACCTGATCATTCAGAGAACAATGGTATATTCATTCTATAAAATCATAACCATTTGTGCAGAGAAATGCTAAGATCCTGTCTGGTCAACAGTAACGTAACAACTTTCCATGAGGAGACACTATCTGGAAATACAATAGATATCTGAAGAGACTAACACTTTTTGTCTGTTTCAATGGCTAAGCCAAAAAGGATCGGACCTGAGTTCATTTTCCAGCTTCTATCTTGGATGAATTCCTTAACATCTCTGTGCATCATGTTCAAGGCCCATCAAATAGGAAGTGACAGCACAGTCAACTCCTGATTTTCCATGCTAATAAAGAGGAAGACTGGCATGAGTAACGCAGAGCAGCCCATAATCGAAACAGCATTTGCGTTTGATTCTGGAATGCATCCTATCATACATTGTTTTGGCAGCAACTTTATCTTCTTTATGGTTTATTTCTTGAGTGAATATTAAAGTAAGTGTACATTTGCTGCACATTCACAGGCTTACTGGGGCGAGGAGTGGTGAGCAAAGTGGAAGCCTGGCTGACGGCAAGAAGAGCAAGACCCAAGGAAGTTGGGCAGTTCATACACAGGCGATTAGGAGATGGCATAAAAGTTTGTGAAATTCATCAAGAGTCTCAAGATAGAACGTGTGTGTTTAATCATACCTCTCTGAATGGTGGCAATGTTGTTTTTAAGTCTGCTTTTTTTACCTCTCTCAAGCAAATGTGATTAGGTATGAAGCTTAGCTTTTAAAACATGCATGTGGTAAGTAGTCTATGGCATAAGGCAGACAAAACACCCCTCCCAAGAGGCTCAACCAGTGACAATTTTGGTGGCAACTGCCATCTTACTGTGCATTCATTGAAATCACCCCCAAATTAGGCAGCTTTTGGCAAACTGAGATGTGGTCCCATCACCACTAACAGTTCATGTTTATATCCAGGTCTTATTAAGAAGAGGCATTTTTTTCATCAACTCTCACAAGCTCTAATACTATGATTATGGTTCTGGGGTAGGTTCTGACTACCTTTTGAAACTTTCCAAGTGTGGGAGCTGGAAAGGATATGATACAATTCTGCTTTCAAAGGAGAAAGAGACAGAAGTGTTCCCAGAATGCTTTTGAGAAGACCTGGCTGATTGTATATACTGATAAGGTAACTTAAACAGCAAATACACATAAAAGCTATAAACAGGCAACCATCAGGCTCATTTCTTGGAACAGGGTATCACCACTAAGCTTGTGATTGAGTAGAGGGACTTGTTCACCAAAGGTCAAATCCCAGTTTCCAGGCCATTTTTATCATCACATCTGGGGAGGATCAGTCAATTAAAAAGTACGTTTTTTAAAAGGCAGGATTCCAACCACAAAGAAGTGATTAAGTAATTCTCCTTGTTACAGACACTGTTTCCAAATATATTCTGGCTAATTCTTTAGTTTGGAAATTTAAATACAGTAGTTCCACAGATTAACCTGACTTTATTCTATTTCTAGTTCACTACTGCTTTGCAGCAGTGGAAATTAGAATGATGAAAAACAATGTTTTATTTAAGTTATTGCATAATTCTATTGCATTTTGTTTCCAAGTGCTTTAAATAGCACCATTTTTCTTATCCACAATCTCCTGAAAATGTAAATAGGCGTCAAACACTGGAATCACCTTTGAATGAGTCTAATATGAAGTCTTTAGAAGCTTTTTTGAAATGCTGCGAGAGCTATGACAAACTCAGAGCCCAGACCTTCTGGTTGTCTCATCAAAATCATCCTCTGTCACACAGATTTGCCATGACACTTGCTACTACATACCAGTGGTGTCGAGAAAAATCTCCTGCTAAGAAGGGAACCAGGCTTGATATATAACTTAGACGCTTCCTTGACCTCTTTCCTGGAAGGAAAACTCCCTCACTAATACCGCTGATACATCCAAACAAGCAATCCATCACTGCCAAGGAAGCGGAGCTATTTATATTGTCAGTGCTAGTTCTACGCAAGGGATGGTGAATTTCCGCTATGGGACTCTACCCTGTGTCATACACCAAAGATAAGCATGTTTTCATTTTATTATTCTGACGCTATTTTCTTTCTCATTACTACTTCCTATTTTCTAACATTCCCTCTATGCTTTCTGTGGTCTTTGGAATGCCAGCAAAGACAACACAGTGTTCATTTCACTGTGCAACTTCAAGGTTATTTACAAAGACCTGCTTGTGAATGTGGGAACTGCAATCAGAGACCCGCTCTACAGAGGGAGAAAAGGGTTTACGTCATGTAACGCAAGGGCATGGAGAGACCATGTAATGCAAATATTTGGTAACAGGAAATATTTTAAGTTGGTTAATTTATAAAGCCCATTTCTCTTTTGGCTTCTATTTGTGGAAAAGGGCATTAAATGTGGGTAACTGTGGTCAATATATGGCTGCAAGAGTTTAGACTACAGAACATTTGGTTTAATTTATTTTTAGTTTAAACGCATTTAAAATGAATGCAAAACCACCCATCTGCATATGTATTTACATCTTTGGGGTCTGACAGCAAAGCGAGCAGATAAATGCTCACCTCTCAAATGTCCTAGTATTTGAGTTTTACTCAAACACTGTATTGTAAACACTTTTATCTCTATAATGCATGTTTTGGGAATTTGGGGCTTTATGTATATTCTAGTTCTTTCTGCATTTTTTTATTTTTGTATTTTTTAGGATAGTGTCAAAATACTTATGAGTGGAAATGGAAGACAACCATGACTCTTTTTTTTTTTTTTTAGATGAAAAGGGATATTTAAAATGTGACCATTTCTATTTTACATCAAATTCAGCTCTTCTTTACTGAAATCATTATTTAAATGATAATCTACAGGACTTATTTGGCGAAAGCATTTAGAACACTATCTAGTGTCTTTTTCTTCTTGAATGAACTATTTGCATCAATTCTCTTTTTTTGTAACCGCAACCAAGAATAAGAAAGAAATAGCAATGAATGTGCTCTACCCTGTCATACCAAACTTTTCTTTCCAATAAAAACTATGTATTTTGTAAGAGATGTATCTTTCCCCAAGTGACACAAAGCTTCATGCCACTGCAGGATCAATGACAGACTGATGGAGCGACATGGAAACTTCAGGCTGCTGTCTGGAGTGATGGTGGTCCTTCATTATGGTGTGTTCTATTTTGTTGTTGTTTTTTGTTAAGAAACTTAGAAATAAACAGAAGATTTCAAAAATGAAGATATTTAGGATGACCTGAACCTTTTAGGAAATATATTTTTGTAGCTACAAAGAAGTGATTTAATACCCTTTTGGGGCCAGGCTTGGTGGCTCAGCCCGTAATCCCAGCAATTTGGGAGGCTGAGGTGAGTGGATTGCCTGAGCCCATGGGTTGGAGATCAGCCCGGGCAACTTGACAAGACCTCGTCTCTACAATTAAAAAAAAAAATAGCCAGGTATGGTAGCGTGCACCTGTAGTTCTGGCTACTTGGAAGGCTGGGGCAGAAGGATCACTTAAATCCAGCAGGTTGACACTGAGGTGGCCGTGAATGTGCCACTGCATTCCAGCCTGGGCGACAGAGTGAGACTCCAACTCAGTAATAATAATAATAATAACCTTGGTAAAATGAAGGCATATTCCAGAAGAATTCATTCCATCTATATCTCATCACTAACTTGGATAAAATTTTTTATTTTTTATTTTTTGAGTTGGAGTCTCACTCTGTCGCCCAGACTGGAGTGCAGTGGCCGCTCCCGGCCACCGCAGCCTCGACCTGCTGGGCTCTGGCGATTCTTCCGCCTCAGCCTTCCAAGCAGCTGGAACTACAGGCGCACACTACCACAACCGGCTAATTTTAAAAAATTTATTGTAGAGATGAGGTCTCGCCAAGTTGCTCAGGCGGGCTCAGGCAATCCACTCACCTGCGGGCTCAGGCAATCCACTCACCTCAGCCTCCCAAAGGCGCGGGATTACAGGCTGAGCCACCGAGCCCGGCTTGGATAAAATCTTTAAAGCCTAAGATTCAGCAGAAAATAAGTTAAATTCAAAAAAGACTTCACTAAGGTCAGAAAAGAACACCTAAAGTAAGTTGGAAAACCTTCCTCTCTAGAAATCTATCACTAAGTTTGGGGTAGAAGTGTGGTTTGAAACACAGGTTATAGATTTTAAAAATCTACTTCATTCTTATGGAGTATATATATTTTAAAATCTTAAACCTCTCATTGAAGTAGCTATTAGAAAGTAATTTGTTGCACAGAGACATTATTCTGAAAGTTATTATGCTCTAATAACAGTTTCTTACAAGATATTAAGGTAAATTTAGAGATCAGCCACGGTGCACACTATTTGAGAACCAAATTGTGTTACTGACTTTCTAGTCATTTGAATAGTGCCAGGGTTCAGCATACTGGTACTAAAGTATAAGCCACTGTGGAAGGTGTGCCTGTCCTGTTTCTATCAGTGTTTTTCAAACTTTATAACCTCAGACCACAAAAGACATTTACATCTCACGGAGCATCTTACTATACATGAGTAGTACTAATATAGTATATATTATTTTCTATTCAATTTCCTTTTCTCTTAATATGGATCTCAAGTCATTAAACTGATTCTATTACCAGCGAATGGGCTGAAATCCACATCTGGGATGCTTCACCACGCATGTCACACTACTCTATGCGTTTTGCTGTTCATGAAATATTTTCAGCCACAAGGGAGCAAATAGACGGTGAGAATAGATGGTGAGAGGGTCAAGTCACAGTTGAATCCTCAAACAGAGTCATCCTTAGAAAAGGGAAGCAGCTACCTACATGGCTCAGCTCATTGTTGCTAGAGAAAAGCCCCGTCCTCAAAATATACTAACTTAACTGCATCTGGACGTAGTGCTCAAGAATAAGACCATCAGAGACTCACTCATTCTTGAAACTTTAGTGAACTTCAAGATTACAAATGCAAAAATGTATGCTTTTTTTTTTTTGTGCAGAGGTTTTATTCTCTGGGATTAGCTGACACCCAGATGAGATCATGGGAGTGTGGTGTGGGAGGACACATACCTTGCAATGAGGAAAAGCAGTGGTGAAGTAGGTGGGAGGGTGCCCAAGAAAAAATTCTACTGTCTCATAACTTGGCCTACCTAATGCAATCAATCTCTTTTTCAAAATCCTAAAGTATTGAAAAAAACAAATAATTGAGAAAAACAAAGAAGAAAAGCAGAGGGAAGGGACCTTGACAAGTGGCAACGTTTCACTCTGGATCTCTTACTATTGCGTGCTGTCATTCATGTAGGTATTTAAAGGTCTAACCTTCTGATTTGGAGATCGAAGTTGATGCTCATGTTTGTTTTCTCGAGACGTGGAACTGCAAATCGAAGGCCTAGAGAATACTAAAAATAAAATAAGAGAAAATCACACAGGACACAAGTTATTACATGGGAGGGACCTTATAGACAGCATAAAAATCTTTTCCAAGTCATCCCTGCAAAACTCCACCCTTGATCACCTTAATTGTCCTTTTTCCTGCTTCTACCCTGGGTGGCTGAGAACCCAGAGGAAGTCATGCAATGACACTGCAGGGCCCAGAAGATTCAGGTCACACTATACAAATTAGTTCTCTCTCTCCATTTAGTTCTGTACTGCCTCTTCTCCTGCCACCTTCTTTATACGCTAAACTGAAAACAACCCAAATATATGAGAATAAATTGATTTAGAAAACAATGATGCTTCTGTTGGGTGGACATTTATGCGGTCATTGAAATTATAGCTGTGAAGTCAATGCAAAGATATGGAAAATGCTTCTATGTAATAATGATCAATGAAGAATTAAAGTTACAATGATCTATGTGCGATGTGTTTCAGCTATGGTTTTAAAAGGCTATAAATGGAAACATTGCTGTACAGGAGTGGGGATGTATTATAGGAAAATATTTCAGAATAATATACAATCATTATGTTGAGGTTGTGGCTACACAGACTGTTGTTTCCTCCTTTATTTTCCAAGTTTTTAAAAGTGCTGTTAGTATTTGTGTAATTCAGAAATAGATTTAAAAAGGAGAAAAATAAATCCAATGATAATATAAACAAGGAAGCAAAAGTAATAGCGCACACACATAGGATTATACCATATACTCTTCCAAGCACTGTGCTATGCTTTACATGCTTCAACTTGCATCATTACGATGACCACTCAGAGGAAGGTATTATTATTGTTGACATTATACAACTGACAACAACCTGAGGATTAAAGAGATTAAGTGCCTTGCTCCAGGTGCAGAGCAAATGAACAGCAGAGTTGGAATTTAAATCCCTGAAGCTGATTCTAGAATCTGTTATCATAGCCACTCCAGCATCATGTCAATATGAATCAATGATAATACGAACTAGTGATAAATGGTCACTTTTTTCATAAATCATTAGAAGCCGTCTGCAGCCCATACTGGAGGTGCTATGAGCCATGTACTATCCTAGTGGCTTTAAAAATGTCATATCGAGAAATGCAAATTAAAACTACACTAAGATACCACCTAACTCCTGTCAGAAAGGCTATCATCAATAACTCAAAAAACAACAGATGCTGGAGAGGATATGGAGAAAAGGGAACACTTCTACACTATTGGTGGGAAGGTAAACTAGTGCAGCCTCTGTGGGAAACAGTGGGGCAATTCCTAAAAGATCTAAAAAGCGACCTTCTATACGATCTTGCTATCCCCCTCCTGGGAATATACCTGGAGGAACTCAAATCACTCTATGAAAAAGATACCTGCACATATATGCTTATTGCAGCATTGTTCATAATAGCAAGAACATGGAACCAACTGTGCTGCCCATCAAAAGAGGACTGGATAAAACTAATGTGGTACATATACATGATGAAATATCATGCAGCCATAAAGAAGAACAAAATCATGAACTTCACAACAACCGGGATAAACTTACGAGTCTATAATACTGAGTGATTTTCACTGAAACAAAGAACTGAGTATCACAGGTTCTCACTCATAAGCGGACCTTGAACAACTATCGTAATACTATAAGAAAGGGATTGGGAGTAGTGGGAAACTGCCAGGGGAGGGTGGGGCAAGATTGACAGTCATGGGAATCTGCCTGGAGAAGTGGGTGCACACCTCAACAACAAGGGTACTAGCGTAATAAACATTTGTCTACCTAACCCTGAATTGTACCCTACATTTTTAAAATAAAAAAATTAAAAGTTAAAAAAAAAGTTGTATCATTGTATTGCTCCCACATTCCTACAAGTAGGTATTTTCTCATTTCAAGGTGACTTGCTCAAGGTATTGCAGCTGATAATAGGCACTACTGGTCTTTATACCCAAGTGTGTCTTAATTATGAAGCATGCATATCCTTATGTCCCAGGAGTGATGAATTTTTTTTATAATTTCAAATGGGCAATTTTTGATCAGGCCTCTTCATATGCTCTTCTCTCTTCTGTAGAAGTCCTTTAGCTTTTTTTTTTTTTTTTTTTTTGCTTGCTTGCTTTTTCTGTTTGAAGAACTCCTACTAATGCCTCAAAGCTCTGGACAAGAGATATCTCCTGCAACACATCCTCTGATCCCACAGGCAGAATTTTTCTCCGTCTCCTTTCTTACTTGGCTTTCACCTAAACTATGATACTGCTAATTTTGAGTTTCTTATTGAATGTAGATTGTGTGTGTGTGTGTGTGTGTGTGTGTATTTGAGTTGGAGTCTCACTCTGTCACCCAGACTGGAGTGCAGTGGCACACTCAAGGCCACTGCAGCCTTGACCTGCTGGACTCAGGCGATCCTCCTGCTTCAGCCTTCCAAGTAGCTGAAACTATAGGTGTGTGCTACCATGCTTGGCTTATTTTTTGATTTATTGTAGAGCTGAGGTATTACCAAGTTGCCCAGGCTGCTCTCGAACCCCTGGGCTTAGGCAATCCTCTCGCCTCCACCTTCCAAAGAGCTGGGATTACAGGCTTGAGCCACTGTTCCCAGCCTGGATTGTATATTTTAATCTTTCTATTGTCAGACTCTAGTTTAGTGCCAGGCATGTAGAAGTGTGCAATAAAAATTGCCTGAAAAACGATGAGAGTGCATCCTTGCTGCTCCCCTCCAGTGATGGGAATCCAGCTATGTTGTCATGGAGACTGCCCACTGTTGGTCTTCATTGTAGAGCAGACCACCATGGGGTGAAGACACAATGAAGGCATCACAATTTAATACTGGCAAGAGGCGCACCTGTCCTTAGCCAGTACCAAACGCCAGATCTCTTGGTGTTGATTCTAAATGGCTTTTGTTGACTCTACCATTTTTTTTCATTTTCCTGCTTCAGAAAATTTGCAAGTTTCTATTAGTAGCATATGGCTATATTACGAATATTACTATAGATACTCTATAAAATGATCTCACTATCTAAAAATCCAAAATAAAACTTCTAAATTCTATCTTGAATATTTTGTTAAGTTAAAACAAACAAACAAAAAAATCACTTGAAAACTATTTTTAAAAAAAGATATTGGGGTGGGAATAAATATTCTTGGCAGTTTATGATTTCTTAAATATTTAGAACTGTTTTTATTGTTGGAATTTTACCTCCATCTACTGAGAGCATTATTTTTAAAGCATAAAATGAAGAAGTAAATAAATCAAAGTGTTTTATAATAAAACAGAATGCAATAAAATTTGATGTGTTTAAGGGCATTATAGGTGGAGATAAGAAAGCTATTAGGTTTCTTCTACTATAGACTTCAGAGATAAATGAATATAAACAATTTACTTCTCTGACTTCCAAAGAGTATTTGTCAGTAAAAGAGATTCACATCCTTTCACATAAACACATTTGTGGCTAATACTACACTGCCATTTTCCCTCCACCTTTAATGACATTGGTGGGCAGTTTTTATTCCAAGATTATCCTTAGTTAGATCCTAGATGATTTCTGGTCTAGATGTAACCGTTTTAATACTAAGAAAGGAATGTGTGACTGGTCATCTACAGATGCTAACACTGCTGCTACCACATCAATTCATCTATTTGCCTTTGGCCCCAGGTAAAATTCTTCCTATCAAAATAGATGAGTGAGTTCTTGAAAACTAGCAAAAGGATTTATTAGCTTCTAGATCAAAAGATTATATTGAAAATGCTCTCATGGGTCAGCTTAGACATCCCATTGTATCTGTCACGGCTTCACTTGTCTCATCTGTTATTCATTTTTTTTTTTTTTTTTTTGGGTTGGAGTCTCACTCTGTTACCCAGACTGGAGTGCAGTGGCCGCTCCCGGCCACCGCAGCCTCGACCTGCTGGGCTCCGGAGATCCTTCCGCCTCAGCCTTCTGAGTAGCTGGAACTACAGGTGCACACTACCACACCCGACTAATTTTTTGATTTATTGTAGAGATGAGGTCTCACCAAGTTGTCCAGGTGGGTCTCGAACCTGTGGGCTCAGGCAATCCACTCACCTCAGCCCCCCAAAGGCGCGGGATGACAGGCTGAGCCACCGAGCCCGGTTCATTAGTTTTTATCCAAGTACTTTTCACAACTTTGCACACTGGATTGAACATGAGCTTTGTGGTCAGGCCTGGCTGGATGCTGGTTCGGATTTCCATCATCTGTGTCACTTGGTGGGCAATTCATTTGACTTCTCTGAGCCTTGGTTTCCTCGTCCATAAAACAGGGGAACTACTTGACTCACAGGGTTGTTTTGAAAATTCAATAGAATAACACAAAAGAGCCTAACCCTCACCCCAATCATGGGTTTATAACACAGAGGTCATCAATCTATGGTAATGAATAATAATCTGTTATAGTCATTTGCTTCCCATTTAAATATTTATTTATTTTTAACCCAAGAAATTTATTTACAAATAAATTTATTTATTTGTAACCCGATTACAATTTAGCACATTTTTAATACCTAAGATCAATATGTTATAGTGTAAAAGAACAAACATATTAATCTAGTATGATATCCTAAAGTATAAATTAGGAATAGATATTACTTGAGAAGAAATTTCAAATGCTCAAGTAAATGTGTGAAACATTGAGCTAAAAGATTTATTGGAAGACATATCAGCACCTTTAAAATGCACATGCATACCTGTATCTCCCAGAGAAGAACACCATACTCAGCAATGGCTACAGAATTCCCTTTTAAAGGCTTATCTTAAGGAACTAGCACTCTTTGGAATACACCTTAGGATGTGGTTTTCATAAAAATTTATGTAATGTAACTTCACAAAATTTTTTCAAATAGAACATTTCATCAGTAATTACAAACATCTCATTTTAAATCAAGCAATATGTATGCTCTATTTATGTAAGAGTTAATTATTGGTACTTTCAGATTCCAGAAATTTTTCTGATTTGTGACTTTGTAACTGATACTGTAATATTTATTGTAAGAAGTTAGCATGGGCATATTAAACTGTAATTGCGTAAAATAAATTTATTGTCTATAATAAATGGAAAAGCTTTTAAACCTAGAAACGAAGGAGGAGGAGGAGGAGGAAAACAAAGAACTCCTATTTTTTTCACAAGATTGTTGGAGATCACTATTAACCTTTTTTCCTTGCTATAAAACTGCAAGTAACTTTCTGTACAATTCTTCAAGTAATACAGTGAAAAACATAGACTTGATATGACTGATCTAAAAAATTGGATTATGATAATGATAATATTTTTAATATGAAAATACTGTGGATGATACTCATATAGGAGGTATAATAAAAATAAAAGTTAATTTAATTGTCTGCTAAAACCTTTCCTTTAGCTTATTTTTAAAGTTTTTTATTTACATTGTATTTCTTTTTTAATTCAAATAATTCAAGTGTAGTAAAATAGAAAGAAAAAGTACTTGAAACATATCTGTAGTAAAAGAAAGCCTTTATAGATTTGTTGCAACTAAAAGATACATGAAAGTAATGTCTAAGGAGAGAGCCTAAAAGCGCACATCTTTCTGAGTGTTTAACCTGAGATTATTCACTCTGTGTACGTTGAAACGCTAAATCCCACTACCCTGGGAATTTCCTGTCTTATTTGTTTTAGTTTCTGTGTGCTGAGTTGCTGAGTGCTAACTGGGGAACTTTCCATTAGTTCTCTGGAAAATTTGGTTAGAAGAAAATCAGTTAGTACTTCTGGCTTTCTCTTACATTTGTTCCAGCCACCATGGGGTTCCCAAGGTCACACACCACCATCCTGGTTACATTTTCCATCTTGTACTCACAGCTCAGTGGGCGAAAGCCCTACAACAGGAAAGAACACCAATACCAAGTTCAGGGGCAGAGTAAATTACATCCTGTCACAAAAGCAGTGCTGGGGGCCTGGGGTGATTTCAAACACCTGTGTGTGTAACTATGCACAAAACTCAATTTGTGACAATTAACTCTGAAAAGAAATTTCAGAGAAAAAAGTTCAAAGTTAAACTTTAGAAAGACATGGGTTGGTAAATGAATTTATTGTGTTTCATTGAGGAAGAGAATGTATAATATAGCATTTATAAGAATATTTTAGACATTATTTTCTCCAATGTTAATGTTAAACTCAGGGCAGGAAGATCATAAATACTTGAACATGAGTAAATAGATTTATTCCTTTGGTTAGTCTTGCAAAAACAAAATGATAGTAATATGTATAGATTTATTCCAAGACTTGATTGCAAGCGAATTACCTTGAACTCAAATTTCTACATGCCACGGTCCTATATTGAGATTATACAATCAGTTTTGTTCAATCCTTCAACTATTTAAGATGCAAAGAGAACACCTTTATGTTTAACCGATCTCCTTCCTTCCCCCTCTATCTTATTCTGATGAGAGTTTATAGAAACTCAAGTTTGAAGAGGTGCTTGGAACAATATGCTGGATAAAATCTCAAGGCTGAGCAGATGAGAGAGGAAAGCAGAAATCTTTGAATTGCTGCCATCTGCTCCCAGTCCTGCCCATTGTCCTGATGCTACCCTCAGCTGCCTAGAAATCTACCCCCATTCTCCGCCCTGATTCTCCTATCATGCTCCAGAGGGCCCTACGGCCATGCTTTGCATGGTGATAGCTACTTATGATCAGCTGTTATTTCACTGTAATTTGCTACGTGTCATCAACATGTCACCTGTCACCCTCAGTCCCAAAAAGAAACTTGCACTGAGGAGATTCACAGAGAAACAGCTTTTGGGGAATTTCTATCCCTGTGATAGGTTTATGGAAGAGGCATCCCAAGATGATGACCATGTTATCCATCTGTCAGCTCTATTGAATTTTATGTGAAAGTGAGGAGAATTTTTCAAGTAAGAGTTTCAGAAATGATTCTCCATTCCTTTCTTTCTACCTTATTAACAAAAGTCCAAATCCAAAACCAAAGCAAAGGAAAACCAAACAAATCCCAGGCATCTAGCTAAAGAATTCTGGAGGTAAATCACACACTCTAAGCTTTAGGAAAGCAGAGGTTTTTGCATCTGTTCTAATCCCAGTCCCTAGAGCAGTCTTGGACACAACGTAATTGATGATGTCAGGAGATGGAGAAGCAGCTCACATTCTTGTCTGAAGAGGAACCTACATTGAAATCAACAGGAATGCAACTAACCATAAAATCTGCCTCCAGACTGGGCGCAGTGGCTCAAGCCTTTAATCCCAGTACTTTGGGAGGCTGAGGAGAGGATTGCTTGAGTCCAAGAGTTCAAGACCAGCTTGGGAAACTTTGTGAGATCTCGTCTCTACAATAAAACAAAAAATTAGCCAGGCCTGGTGGCGCATGCCTGTAGTTCCAGCTACTTGGAAGGCTGAGGTGGAAAGATCGCCTGATTTCAGCAGTTCAAGGCTACAGTGGCCATGAGCGTGCCACTGCACTCCAGCCTAGGCAGCAGAGTGAGACTTCAACTCAAAAAAAAAAAATAAAAAATCTGCCTCCAAGATTCACCCAGGAAAACACACTGAAAGTTCTGTTCTAGCCGGGTTCGGTGGCTCAGCCTGTAATCCCGCGCCTTTGGGAGGCTGAGGTGAATGGATTGCCTGAGCCCGTGGGTTCGAGACCTGCCTGGGCAACTTGGTGAGACCTGATCTCTACAAAAAAATCGAAAAAAGAAAAAAAAAATTAGCTGGGCGTGGTAGCGCGTACCTGTAGTTTCAGCTACTTGGAAGGCTGAGGCGGAAGGATCGCTGGAGCCCAGCAGGCGAGGCTGCTGGCCACTGCACTCCAGTCTGGGCGACAGAGTGAGACTCCAACTCAAAAAAAATAAAAAATAAAAATAAACAAAAATAAAAAAAATTAAAAAAAAGAAAGTTCTGTTCTACTTAATGAGAAAGGAGTGAATCACTGATGAATACATTCTCTCTCCAAATACCCTGAATGACATGTTATTTATGTTGAAGGAGCTGAGACACATATTTTCAAAAAATGGGCATTATTCTTTCTTCTCAAAGATACGTTTAGTATGGATCCAACTTCTTAAAGATCCATAACTGGTCATAGTGGCTCACACCTGTAATCTCAGCACTTTGGTAGGCTGAGGAGAAAAGATGGCTTGAGCTCAGGAGTTTGAGACCTGCCAGTACAACACAGAGAGACCCTGTCTATAGAAAAGAAAAAAGAAAAAAAGAAAAGAAAAAGCTGAGGCGTGGTGGTGGATGCCTGTAGTCCCAGCTACTCAGGAGGCTGAGGTGGGAGGATCACTTTGAGTCCAGGAGTTCGAGGCTGCAGTGAGCTAAGATTACACCACTGCAGTCCAGTCTATGCAATAGAACAAAACTCTGTTTTAGAATAAAAATATACTAAGGATCTATAACTAACCCTAATTGTACAGAGCTATTTTGTGTTGGGATTAGTAACTTAATCATGAAGACAGAAAAAAAGAACCCAGCAAAAGCTTTCAAAAATGCCCACGTGCCCTTGGATATAAATCAAGGATTTTGTTTCTACAGTAAATATTCTTATCTTACATAAAGGTTAAAAGTTATATGTACATTTTTCCCAGCTTTCTAGAAATAGTTCTTTGACATCAATCAAAGATCTTTTCTCCCTCTCACATCCCCTCCACCTCTTTTCTTTTTTTAACCATTATTTCCTTTCTCCAAAGAGAGAAACAATGACTGTTTTTCTAGATATTTCTGGATTATTTTCCTCAGTGGTTTCAGGGACATTCTTGTTCCAATCCATTTGTAGTTGTTAGAGTATTATTCATTCACTAAAAATATTAACTGTAAATCTGCTATTTGCCAGGCTCTGATAAGTAAGACCCCCTTGTCCTCTCTTAATTTTTAATTATTATGACAATTATAACAAAAATTATAAGGAATTGTAACAAGCAATAGAAGCACACAATTACTAGAGTCTGGTAAATTTTATGATAGAAATAAATAGTGACCAAGGAAGAAATGTACATAGATTCAAGCAATCAGAGAAGGCATCCTGGAGGAGGTAGTATATAAGTTGATAGGGGCACTGCAAGTCAGTGGCTGAGAACAGGGCCATGGACCTAACAGCTGCGGTTTGAATCTTGTTTCTGCTACCTAATAGCCATATAACCTTGGGTGTGTTACTTTGTTTCTTCTTTTTCATAAGATGGTGATCATGAGAGCAGTTTAAATAAATTAAATACATGCCCAAACTCAGAGCAGTACCCAGCTCATCGTAATTGTTCAATAAATGTTAGCAGTCTCAATTATTATTAAGCCTCAATTACTATGGTCTCAATTATTATTTGAAGGATGAGTAGAAAACGGTAAGATAGTCTGGGCACGGTAGTTCACACCTGTAATCCCAGCACTTTGGGAGGCTGAGACAGGAGATTTGCTTGAGCCCAGGAGTTCAAGACCAGCCTGGGCAACATAGTGAGACCTCATCTCCACAAAAATTAAAATAAAAAATTAGCTAAGTGTGGTGGCACACACCTGTTGTCCCAGCTACTGGGGAGGCTGAGGGAAGGATTGCCTAAACCTAGGATGTCGAGGCTGTGGTGAGTCACGATCATGCCACTGTACTCCAGCCGGGGCAACAGAGTGAGACCCTGATTCAAAGAAAGAAAAGAAGAGAAAAGAAAAAGAAAAAGATAGATAAAGAGGGAGTAGGGTTAGTGTTTCAGGGAGAAGCAAGAGCCGGAACAAGCTCTCTGTGACAAGAGCAGATGGCATTGCAGGAACTGAGGAGAATTTAATTTAGGGTATAGGAGTAAAGAGTCTACACCTAGCCATGAGGTTGAAGAAATGAGCAGGAATGATACAATTAAGGGCCACATATGTCATCCGAAGTGTTTGCATCCTATCCCAAAAGCAACGGGGAGCTAGTGAGCGTTTTAAGCAAGATAGGGCATGCTCAGATCTGCATTTTGGAAAGCTGGGGTTCTCTGCAAGGAAGAGACTAGAGGTAGGTTGCTGGTGAGATGAACTGGGAGACTGTTGCAGTCATTTGGACAAAAGATCACGCCAGTCTGGATGAGGGTGATAGCGGCAGTTGAAGGATACGGACAAGAGGCTGAGGACCCATTTTAGGTTTTAGAAACCAGGGATGCTGATGCCTTCCTCAGAGATGGAAGATGCAGGGGAGTAAGAGCATGAGTAGGGAAGACCCAAAGTCTAGCTACACACGTGCTGAGGGTGAGGCGGCTGGGAAAGACTGAAGTGGAGATGAGTAAGAGATCCCTAGATCAGCCAAATTCATAGAGACAGAAAGTTATAGAGTTGCAGTTTGGGATGATAAAAAGTTCTGGAGATGGTTCATGGTGATGGTTGCACAACAATGTGAGCAAATGAGACTGAAACATACACTTAAAATTGTTAAAATGATTCATTTGATGTTACATGTATCTTACTAAAGTAATAACAATGATGGTGAGGATAACAAAGATAAAGGCTTTATTTCTAGAGAAATTTAGGAGGAAGGTCACCAAAGGGAAATAGGAAGGCTGGCTCAGTTAAGGTTTTTAGAGAAAGAAATGATCAGAATCTCCATTATCTACAAAGATGAATGTTTTCAACAGCAAAACTTACAATCAGATCATTTCCAATACTTTTCCCCTTGAAAAATATTATTTAAAAAAACTTGAACTGAGTTTAAATAAAAAGGTACAAAAACCTCAGACTTCTTGAAAACAAAGAAAATTAGACTGTGGCTTAGCTACATAAAATTCAAAGACTGGGCTAAGCCTTTGCCCAAGGGAAATTGATGGAGAAAAAAATTGTGGAGAGCTCATTTGCGATTACGGATAAAGTCCTTTGTAACATTTACAGCCAAAGATAGGATGATAAGTACTCTCTCAGGCCTTCATATAACAAAGTGGACAGTAAACTGATGTTTTGCTGAAAGAACATTTTAGAATAGATGCTTTAGCCAGGCTCGGTGGCTCAGCCTGTAATCCTGCACCTTTGGGAGGCTGAGGTGAGTGGATTGCCTGAGCCTGCGGGTTCGAGACCCACCTAGGCAACTTGGCGAGACCTCATCTCTACAATAAATCAAAATGAGCCAGGTGTGGCAGCACGCACCTGTAGTTCCAACTACTCAGAAGGCTGAGGTGGAAGGATCGCCGGAGCCCAGCAGGCCGAGGCTGCGGTGGCCGGGAGTGGCCACTGCACTCCAGTCTGGGTGACAGAGTGAGACTCCAACTCAAAAAAAAAAAAAAAAAAAAAAAAAAAAATATATATATATATATATATATATAATAGATGCTTTGTTGAACAAAGTCAGGGGTGCAGTGACAAGGAGGCAATTGAAATAAAAATACAAGTGGCATCCTGGAACACTTCAAGAAATAACAAACGAGCTACATTTTTGTTTTTGTTTTTTGTGTTATTTGCATGTAAGTATTTCTAGGTGATATTTTTCTTTTTCTTTTTTTTTTTTGCTTGTAGTGATTTCATTATGAGATGATTTTTTAAAATTCAGAATGGTTATTAAACACCATCCTTATAAGTCGTGTATAAGTGTTCCATTTATTATTTTTTAAAGAAAAAAATAGAAGTGACTTTATGATAGAGAAATATGAAGAGGAAAAACAATTAGAAAAAAATGGGATGATTATAAGCCATTCACTGGAGACATTAGGGTTTATTTTGACTTTCCTGGTTGAAATAAGAGGGAAATAAAAGTAGACTGAAGAGTTGTAAGCACTCTTGAAAAGAAGTGGATTGATTTTTTCCTCTATATCCAACCTCACTGCTATCATGAAAGGCTTGGGAATGTTTTTGGACTATTTTTTAAAAAATTAAATAACTTTATGGAGATATGATTGACATACAAAAAGCAGTATATATTTAACATATACAGTTTAATGAGTTTAAAGGCAATTTTCCAATAAATTTCTTCAACAAAAAATCATAGTGATTTTAAATGATTGTCAGTTACTTGATTGTTACTCATCTGGGTGCTTTTTTTTTCCCCTAAGTTGACGATTCAACTAAAAATCCATGAGACTTGAAGTGTGAATAAAGAATTACATTTCCTAAGTTTTTAAAATATCAACATCACAACAGTTTGTTAACATGTCTTTGAGGAATTACTTATTATTACATTATTCAATCATTAAAATGTGTGAGGTCCTCAAAGGAGGCAGAATTTGGAAACAAGTAGACCTTTAAGACATTTTACTTAAATGAACAAATCCATCAGCAAGTATTTTTTTTTTTTAAGTAGGATTTATTGAGAGGCCCGAAAAGCTCCCACAATGGGAGGAAACTCGAAGAGTTTACCCCATCAGCAAGTATTTAAGGAATACCTATGATGCATCTAATCCTATGAAACAAATGTGATCCTTGGTCTCTACTCTTAATTGTTAGTCTGCATAGTTCTGATAATGAGGAACTTGTTCTGTTATTCTATAACGTGTTTAGAATAGTTTTCTAGACCAAATGATTATAAACACTCTGAATCTGCAGATACTTCAAATGGGAAAATTCATGTTCTGATCATGAAAGGAAAGACTATAGATACTATAGATAGCACTGTTGTCATTTTAATAAACAGTGACATTGAGGACCGGCAAATGAGGAAGACCAGGCTTTTCCTGGTCACAATTATGACAAGGTGGGCCAAGAAGAAAGAAAAATGAACTTGTTTCCCTTCCAGTGCCTGTCCGGGCATTATCAGTGCTCAGCAAGGACTGGCTGGACTGTCTTCCCTAACCAATAATGAAAACCAGGCTTCCTGCCACCTGCTTGAACCTCAGTAAATACTCAACACAAGGCTAGGAAAGCCAGTGAGGATGGAAGGTAGCCTGGGAACTTAGCTGACTGATCATATTGGTAAGCTTCTTTCTTCCTTGCCTTCTTCTCTCAATCTTTGACCAGTTTATCTTTATACTGTGGTAAAGAAAAACAATACCGTGTAAGCCCATGCCCCTTCCCAGCTCATTGCTATAATGATTTAACAAAGTAAGGTACCATTTTGCTATCTTTTATTTAGGAAGAAACTCTCAGCTACGAAGGCCCTACTTAACCCTTACTTGACTTCGAAAATATACCTAGCTCTTTACTTCAAATAATCTGTAGGCATTACCTTGTTGTTCCGTTCAATCCCAACATAATCTGCCTCTTCTGGAATCATTACAAAGAGTTCAGCTTCATAGGCTCCTTCCCCTTCATTTCTTGCATTTATTATGAGCATAAGGTGATTCTCATCTCCAATGATTACCTGATGCTTATCTCTAAAAAGGCAGTTTAAAAAGAACTATTAGGCACTCTACTTCTCTGACTTTGTGGATATTTTATTTAAAGATGTATCTAGAAGGAAAGGAAGGAAAATGGCACATGCAAGATCCAGACCAAAAAAAAGAAGATGAAACATTATGAAGAGATAATGGGAAGAGTTAAGAGAACCATCTCTCGATAAGAAGGGCAGAAAAACACCCAGTGGTGTGCTGGGAAATGTTTAACATCCAGTTCTTAAAAAAAAAAAAAAGTATTGATTGATAGTATTTTCAGATTCCATTGGTGAATGGTGTACACTCACCCACTATATGTCAATTTCAAGCTACCAACATGCTTAACAATCAACTAGCAAAATTCCTGCAAATTTAACATTTGGTTTTACAAGCCAGGATGAGGCAGCTTCAGCACATCACTGAAAACATACACTAGGAGAAAATGAGTGACAGAAAGAAAGAAAAAAAGAAAGATGGCTTAGAAAGTATGAGGGGGAGATTAATGCAAAGTAGACAATAAGAGAGAAGTAGGCAGGTAAAACAAGATCTTAACTAGCCGAGAGAAA